AGCTATGGATTATTGAATCTTGTTCATTTATGTAATAGTGAGTTTTTATTGTTCTTAATTTCACCAAACGATTGTAAGTATTATCAATTTTTTGTGCTTAATTTCATGATTCTTTATTTTAGTGTAATAATTGAGTAGTAGCTACTAAGGACATTATGGTCTAATAGTACCAAGTTGCTCTCTCATAAGGGAGGTTATAGGTATGAGCCTCAGACTTTTTGTGCTTTATTTGGTTGAGAAGATAGTTATGAACTAACTTGGATCTTTCTTGTTTTTAATGCCATCAATTGAATTATTTTATGAGGTTTCTAATTTTTGCAACCATTAGGCCTATTTATGCAAATGTGATATATTTTGAGGTTTCTCCGTTTGTTTTGTCGTTAGACATCCATTAACTTGGGACCAAATTGGTAATTTAGCTATAGTCAAGGCACCATTTCAGTAATTAACTTTAGGGGTGAGCAATTCGGCTCGGTTTTCCCAAATCGAACCGAAATGAATGGTAATGGATTCTTATATATCGAACGGTTCGGTAAAAAAAACAAAAAAAAAAAAAAAAAAAAAAAAAAAAAAAAAAAAAAAACAAATCGATCCGAATACAGTTTTTAAAATATAATAATAATAATAATAACTCGGTAATTAACTCTTATTATTATTATTATTATTATTATTATTATTATTATTAAAAAAATCAAATGGTATTCGGTTCGGTTTTTTACCGAACCGTTCAGTATAGAAGAATCCATTTACCGTTTAGTTCGATTCGAGAAAATCGAACCGAATTGTTCACCCTAAAGTTAATTATAGAAATGGTTCATTGACTATAGCGAAATTATCAATTTGGTCTCAAGTTAACAGATGTCTAACGGAAAAACAAACGAGGGACCAAATTGATTAAAAGTTTTAAAGTTGAGGAACTTAATTGGTCAAAACAATAGTCAAAGACCAAATTGATAATTTCACTATAGTCAATGGACCATTTCAATAATTAACTCCATCTTAATTGTATTTATTGCTAGTTTATATTTGAATTCGTTTTATATTAATTGCAAATAAAACCTCCCCTAATTTATTCTTTCTTCCCTCCCCTAATTTATTCTAAAGAAGTAAACGGTCCTTACCAACCATTATACTACTTTTTATATGGAGTATAAATTTATTTGGACAATTTAATAACCGTCCAATAATGTAAATTATGATAATATAATTTACCCAGACTTCATATACTGTTTACTATCGTCCTTGGAGCACGCACAAGGTTTACAAGGATGCAAATTAGACAGTTTGACTTTGCTTCCTACCTCGACCTTCTCGAAATATGTCTGCTTAACAGTTAAAGCATAAACAATCAAAGCAAACAACTGTTGGACACACTCTAATGACTCTATATGCGAATCTTTATACTATGAACCAAGATTCACAGGGCACTATGAATCTTGGTTTATGTATGTGTATTGTGTTGTGATTTTTGTGTCTTATATTATAAAATCTTGTACTTTAATAGGGCATTTGGTTGAAGGGAATGTAAATTTCCTTCCCACTTAATTTCTACCTAATTTCAAAGGCTACAAAATTCCCTTGTTTGGTTGAAAGGAATTGCAATTCCCTAATTTTCATTGAATTAAAATCTCATGTCCCCTGGGATTTTAGGATGAAAAAAAAAATTAGTGATGAGTCAAAATTACTTCTCCCGTTTTTTAACCAAAAATTAATGTATGACAACAACAATGGACATTTTGGACTTTATACTACTTATTCCCTTTTTAATTCTCATGTAAAGCAAACATTGAAATTGAAATTCCCAGTAATTATATTCCTGTAAACTAAACACTAGAATTTAAATTCCCACTTTATTTCCAGTAATTCATCTCCCATGGAATTGCAATTCCTTTCCCACGTAATTCCCCCTCTTCAACCAAACGCCCTGTAATAGTATGAATTCTGTACATGAAACAAATTAGTAATTGTATTTTATTTATGAATTTTTGTGTCTTGTGTTGTGAAATTCTGTATTTATAAACACAAATTATGTACCTAAATTATATTTGAAAATAAGTAAATATATAACATATGTATGTGTCTTGTGTTATAATTTTTTGGTGTCTTGTGTTATGAAATTTTATACCTTACGAGTATGAATTTTGTACCTCGTCTTTTCAATCCAGCTGAGTCTGTAATAATATGCTATGTATCTTGTGTTATAATTTTTTTTATCTTTTATTATAAAATTATGTACCTTACGAGTATGAATGATATAATGTTACTTGTTTCAATTTAACTTCCATAATACTATTTACACTCTATATGCACCCTTTGGGAGAATATTGGGATGCCGAAAAAGCAGAGCAATTTGCGCCTTGGGTTCAACTAACTTTAATTTGTCGATATTTTCAAGAATTTCAAGAGAATTAGGATTTTTATGAAATGTGACAAAAATAAAAATGAAAATTAATTATGAAAGTTTCATATATCTGTGAATCATATTACACTTCTGGCACGTTTAGTTCGATGAATAGGCCTGAAATGTAATAGCATTTCTAATAATAGGTCTATTTCTTTGTTTGGTAAAAGTAAAAAGTAAAAACATTTATTCCCCTGGAAATGATCTATTCCCCTTGCAAGGGGAATAGAGATTCCTGGGGGGCCCTGAGAATTCAGGAATAGCCTAAAGTTGCTATTTTTTATTTTACCCCCAATTAAATTTATTTCTTATTTTATCACCATCACCACCACCGCCACCACCACCACCACTGCCGCCGCCACCACCATCGCTGCCACCACCGCATATATTTATAAGGGTATTTATGTCTTTTAAAACATATTTCATTTATATTCCTTAAATCAACCAAACACAATAATATAATTCCTAAAATCTATTCCTTCCGCGAACCATACAATAGAATACAATTTCTATTCTATTCCTTGCATATTCCATTCCTTATGGAATAGCATTCCTATTACCTCAAAATTCATTCTGTGAACCAAACGTGCTGTTCAAGTTATGTGATATAATTGAATTAAATGTTTATTTATAGAAAATATATTATTTCAATCTCATACAAGCAAGGCAAATGAGGTTTGTTGGTTTTTACAGCTTTGGATAACCAATCGGCGGGCCAATACTACTGTAAAGACCCTTTACATGGTGATCTTGGGGGGATTTTATACAAGGAGTTAGATCCTCTATAAAGTAGGGGGGCAAAAGAAATAACTAAACCAGCTATGGAATCTACCATAATTAAGGCAATAACTGCCTAAACTGAGAGAAGGAAGCTACTTGCTGTAGAAGGAAAGGTATCCCGCGAAATCCGTCAGTAACCGCTTCTGGACGCGCACTCGGTCGGGGATGCACCGAGCAGTCGGCGGGGTAGCTCGACCAGGGAGGCTGAGGCACCTAGACGAGGACATTCCGAACCTCGAGCCTGGTCGCCCGACTAAGTCCTCTGGGAAACTCCGTCGATGACACACCAACTACTGAGCCAGCCAGGTACCCTGACCAGAAGCATGCCCGCTTGGCGGCCTGGTCTCCCGGGTGCTCCACGTCGCTGAGGCTATGAGAGAGATCCGTTCTCACGAATCGATAAGTGTTTTGCCGAAATCGGGACTGACCGCCCCTCATGTTCCCCAAGCTAAGTGCCCAGTTTGTGGTCTATCACCAGTCCCTCACTTTTTTGGGTCTAGCCGAGCGATGACTCAAAAAAGTAGAAAATATAACCAAGTGTGCAATGGGAGAATCTGACTGCCTTGAAATCGTTCCGCTCTGGTACGATCCGGAGTTGCAAAGCCCCTAAACCTACAATTTGCACACGTCGTTTCAAATACACGCACACACCAACGAATACTCATTACCAACTGCTTTTGCATTCTTCTTTAAAAAAAAAAAAAAAAAAAAAAAAAAAAACTACCATGCGTTCACGTTCACAAAACATAACAATTTTTCAAAACACAACAACAACAACAACAAAAAAAAAAAAAACAAAAAAAAAAACAAAAAAAAATTAACAACGTCAGGCAAAGTTCGCGTTCCATGTATTTGCACATGTCATTGCTCAATAATGCACATACCTGCGTAAAAACACATATAAAAGCATAAGAGCAACACATACCCGTATTGTTATTCGCCATTCACAAGCTCTGAACTGTTGTCGCCTTCACCCTCCTCTGTGCACGGTTTTTGTTGCACAGCTCTCAACAAAAAATAATTACTACTTATTACCATTAATATTGTCTCTATTATTATGCTAATGATTACAATTTCATTCTAACCATAATTAACGCAATACTAGAATTACTTTTTAATCCTTCTGTTTAAAATATGCCCTTATATATATATATATAGAGAGAGAGAGAGAGAGAGGGAGAGAGAGAGAGTTGCGTTCAAATGTAAATTATTTCTGAAGGGAGAACATGAGGACTAATCTTGTGCATTACTTTGTTTTTTATTTGGATGACTTAGATTTGATTTCATAAGATGAGATGGATTGATTTTTTTAAAGCTGTCTTTTTTTATATGCAATTTGTTTCTTTTTTTTTTTTTTTTGAGTACTATCGACTCTGTTTCAATGCAGTATCTGTTCATAATTACTTTTTCAACCTACTGAAACATGAAGAGTCGATACCACCCGCACTCAGGCTCAAATACATGACCTCCCAATTGAGAGAGCCAAGCCACTTCGTGTCATTGACGACTATTTGTTTCCTATTTTCTTAGATCATCACAACTGCAAATTGGAGCCACGATTTCTCCAATCGATCAAGTGTTCGTCCATGAAAAATAATTAGTATTTTTTCTGCTTGTTTTTTTTAGTATAATATTACCTATTGAAGTAGGCTCCCCTCAAGGCATCAAGCGTACTTACAGTCACATACTACAAATATCATGCTCCTTGGGGATCCATTCTCTAGATAATAAATTCACATAAAAGTAGCTAGCTAAGGAGATCTTTCCATATTTATATATAGACCCGGCAGGCAGTGAGGAAAGTATGCACAGAAATTTCATGGCTTTTCTGTTCAGTCCAATCTACATAGTAACTGCCTTTCTTTCTCTTGGCCTTTCCATAATCTTTATTCATGCATTCATAATCACAGTGCTACAGAAGCATAGCAACAACAAGAAGTACCATCCAATTGGAGGCACCATTTTTCACCATGTTATCAACTTCCATAGGTTGCACCATTATATAACTGATCTTGCTAGGAAGTACAAGACTTGCAGATTAATCACACCTTTCAGGAGTGAGGTTTACACTGTAGACCCTGTAAATGTTGAGTACATCCTCAAAACAAACTTTGAGAATTATGGCAAGGTATGAAACCTAGAAATTTCATTCCAACAACATTGTCTGTATGTGTCAACTAGTTATAGTTCTGTTATGAATTGAAACATGTTAAATGCAAAAATCTGCAGGGGGAATATAATAACAGCATTCTGAAGGACCTGTTAGGTGATGGGATTTTCACCGTTGATGGGGAGAAGTGGCGTGAACAGAGAAAGGTGTCGAGCCACGAGTTCTCCACAAGAGTGTTAAGGGACTACAGCAGTGTGGTCTTCAGAAAAAGTGCAGCAACTCTTGCTCACATATTGTCTGAAGCAGCAAACAAGGAGGAGTCAGTTGATATGCAAGCAAGTTACCCAATCCCAGCTTCCTAAAATATAAGAAATGCCACTTTTGTTTTTCCACCTGATAACCTTACCGATCAATGCAGGATTTCTTCACAAGAACGACTCTAGATGCGGTGTTCAAAGTAGCTTTTGCGGTTGATCTGGATACTGTGCATGGCTCAAGTGAAGAAGGTGTGAAATTCACTAATGCTTTTGTTGTTGCAAGTGAAATGACACTCCGGCGTTATGTTGACATCTCATGGAAGATTAAAAAAGCCCTTAACATTGGATCAGAAGCCAAGTTAAAGAAAAGTGTCAAAGTTATTGATGACTTTGTGCTTAAGCTGATCCATACCAAGATTGAGCAAATGCACAAGTTTCAGGATGATTCCACTGTATGCAAACTTCTTCCCACTTCCTCTTTTCATTCTTTGATTTTCTTTAGCTATGCTGTCAATAGAAACTCAGATATCATGATTCTCTGCCAGTCGGGGTGGAAGAAAAACGACATTCTGTCAAGGTTCCTGCTGTTGACTGAAACAAACCCAAGATACTTGAGAGATGTGACATTAAACTTCATGGTTGCTGGCAAAGATACAACAGCTATTTCTCTTTCCTGGTTTATATACATGCTTTGCAAGCACCCTTCTATTCAAGAAAAAGTAGCACGAGAGATTAAAGAAATAACAAAGGTGGATAAAATCACAGATATTGAAGAATTCGCTGTCAATATGCCTGAAGAAGCCCTTGAGAAAATGCAGTATCTACATGCTGCTCTAACAGAAACTCTGAGGCTTTGCCCTGTGCTTCCAGTGGTAAGTAATACAATTTCCTAAACAGAAAAGGCTTATATATACGTGCTCACAAGCTTGCACCTTTGCACTTTAACCCTTCATTATTTAGTGAGCTAAAATTGTGACAAGTCAGAGTCAGGAAATAATCTTGACCTGTATATTATCTCGCTCTTTGGCATTGAATGCACTAATTGCAGGATGCCAAGGTATGCTTTTCTGATGATAATCTTGACCTGTATATTATCTCGCTCTTTGGCATTGAATGCACTAATTGCAGGATGCCAAGGTATGCTTTTCTGATGATACATGGCCGGATGGATTCAACGTCAAGAAGGGGGACATGGTATGCTACCTGCCATATGCAATGGGGAGGATGAAATTTTTATGGGGAGACGATGCAGAAGAGTTCAAACCAGAGAGATGGCTTGATGAGAAAGGTTGCTTCAGGCAGGAAAACCCCTTCAAATTTACAGCTTTCCAGGTTAGTAAAAACACTTAATATTCTAAAAGTGGCGCCTGCTCATCTCATTAGACTTTGAGATTTTACTGAGCTAAGGCTGCAACAGAGATACTCATTTCTAAATATTCTGCTGATCATGCAGGCAGGACCAAGGATTTGTCTGGGAAAGGACTTTGCTTACCGGCAGATGAAGATCTTCTCTGCTATTCTGTTACAATGCTTCATATTCAAGTTAAAGGATGACAAGAAAGCTGTACACTACAAAACAATGATTAATCTATTCATTGATGGGGGACTGCATGTTTGTGTCTCCCACAGATCAGACCTGTAAATGTGTAGAAGTCCACTTATGCTTTACATATTAAAGAGCAAAAGGAAATGAAAATAAAAGACCATTTCTAAAGCTTTCAATCACATTCAGACCTCTCTGAGGTAAACAACTTAAAGTAACATTATTGTCCTCCAGAATGCAAGCAACAGACAACAGGCGTAAAATGAAGCTATGTTATGTTCCTCTGGAGCACAGATTAAAACTCTAAAATATCTTAACTTTCTTTCAAAATTTGTCTTTTATTTTAGATTTTAAATTTACCCACAATCCAAATATATGTTAAAAAAACCCAAAACACTCACCGCCTACCACTACCATTAATGTTTTATATGAAGAAAGCAATTAAACTTTTAAACAACTTAATACTCTATTAATTAGATAATAAGTCTAATCTTACATGTTTTATAATCCTTTCAATGAAAAATAGATAACATCTTATGTAACTAAATTAACCATAAAATGCAATCTTAGAGTGGAAACATCTTCTACATAATTATCAAGTACTATTGATATTCTGATGTGACATTGGTACCAAACCACCTATAGATGAATAAAATGAACAAATTCATACTTAAGTTTATTCTGTTCATACAAGGATACATAAAAGAAAAAGATCAATTGAGTAGTAATTGAATAAAGAAAAAGGACTGTAGCTTCAGACTTCAATTTTAGTGCTGGTACAAATATAGAGCCTTTGAATCATGGTATAGCCATGGAGTTAGCTTGTATCAGCTCACAGAAGAGAAGGGGTTCAAAATCATGTCTTTCAAACAATTATGGCAATGACAAAGTAGTCGAAGGCGGGGGGACTGATCCCTGGCCTTGATGCCCAAACAGTGGTCTGTGTCAGACAACTATACTGATGGCGATGTAGTCAAGGGTGGAGGGAGCTGAGTCCCTGGCCTTGATGTCCATCCTTTTCTATTCCTGTAGGCCTCAACTGCTTTCAAACGAAGCCTTTCTTGTGAAGCTTCATGTGCAGTCTTCAGTGCCTTCATCTATACAAAAAGCATTCAGATCAGAGTGGGATGCATTACATTCAAAATCCGTCAACAAAAACTCATGGCAAATCATATTTCTCACATGAATAGGGCTCTTTTATCTCTAGTTATAATGAAGTTATGTCTACCTTTGGGAGGGCAGCCAACTTGGGGGGAGCATCAACAACTTCCCCAAATTTTATTTGTTCATGCCTAGGGAAGTCCAAGTGTTCTTCTGTCCTGGTCTTCTTGCGCTTCTTTTTCCTCTCTTCCAAGTGCCTGCATACAATTAGACAATACCAATTCAATCAAGGAAATAAAATCCACTTAAACAATCACAAGTTTACAGTTCAAAATCATAATATGTAAACAAAGAAATGAACACTGTTGCACAGATATAAGTTCTTAATTAATTGTAGCCTTCAATGGGTCACTGCACCAACAACTTCAGCCCTCACCTCTAAAGCTCAAACATGAAAAATACTCATCCTCAGAAAACTTCACTAGCTCCATCAAGGAGGGGGCAAACAGAAACTAATTTTCAATGAAGAATGGTAGAATCTTACTGCTTCCTACGCTCCTTTCTCTTTGAACCAGCACCACCAAACTCCTCAGTTGATTCAAACCGAAGGTCAGTTACTTGTTTCCTTTTCCTTTTTTTGTTTTTCATTTCCGGGACATTACTTTCTGCAGGCTTGTCACCATTAGTTTTCCTTTTGACCTCAGAGACTTTAGTGTTACCCTTCATCAAATGCAGCATTTGTTAACAAGAAGGCAGAAACACATAGCGATTAAACAATCAGAGCATTAGGATGCCTTAGGAAAGTAAAATTCTCAAGTACTCAATCCTGGGAGGAAGGTATTTAACAGAGGGGGGCCATAAGTAGATTCAGAAATTTTCTCAACTTAAAGAATATGTAAAACATAAACTTGAAAAGTACCTAATACTCTATTTCTTTTTTTTTTTTCTTTATTGTGTTCTCTTAACAAGAAAAATGCAGAAATTTGTATCAGAACAAATATGGCAAGGTTAAACAATACAAGTCTAAATTTCAACCCAAACTGTTAAACAAACAGCAAAAGTACAAGACTAAAAAGTAAAACATTTAAGCTTTTTATACCTTATTATCACCGCCATCTCCTTCGGCCCTGTTTATTATTGATGATTTCTTTTGAACTCCTAGAAGTGTAAAAAAATAAATAAATAAAAAGATTTAGAGAAAAACGCTAACAATTAAACACACGTGCTTATAATACTTCAATGTAAATATCATATATACGCATCCATGTGAATCGATGTGTAAATCATGAAGACTAACCTGTTAACCCCATGATTTTGCGGAGCTTAGAAGGGAGGGCATCGACGGAGGAGGGGTCAGGTGGGGGCGGGAGTCTGGTATTCCCTTTATGCGATTCTCTGTAATTCTTCTCCCTTCTCTTCCTTCCTTTGGCTCCCATCTCTCTCTCTCAATTAGTTTTGCTTAAACCCTAATCTTATTTTCTTCACCAATACCCTTATGCCTTAAGCTTCAAGTCTTGAACTGCCAAATCCCTACCACCGCGTCGTGTGCCCTCGACTGTGTTTAGAATTTGTGTGATATACTGATATCCTGGAAAAACCTCCAACACACTAGGCGCTCAAGTCTTTTTTTGTTTTTTCTTTTTAAAGACTATTTCACATACTTTTATTTGTGAGACGTTTCAGTTAAGATAAAAATGTAATAGTTATGTTGATACTAATTATGTATAAATTGTTTGTTATCCATAGGTAAAGTGTAATATTTTTTAAAAAAATGTAATATTTTTAAATCAAAATATAATATTTAAGGGTTAATTATGATAAAAAAAAAAATGTAATACTAATCAAGATAAAATGATATGAGAAAAATATAATATTAAGAGTTGAAAAGTTATTTATAATAAAATTTGTACGAGTAACATGTAACATTCCTATAAGCGGGAAAGAATGAAAGGAAAGGGTGGAAGAAAGAGGAAAAAATGAAGTAACTAATCCGGAAGAAAATGATGGGCACCGAAAGAAGAGGATTAGCATTGGGATGAAGGAGTAGAACTGAAAGAATAGGATGATTTCAGATTATGTCGTTTTGTTAGGTGATGGGCAACTATTGGTTTATCTTCAGACGATGTCATTTCTCTTTAGATTGTAATTTTCTTAGTGGGTTTGTTGTTTGATAGTTCAAACTGATGCATTGTGTAGGGAATAATTCAATTTTATTATATATATATCTATATAAAGGGCATATTGTATAAGGAGTTTGGCATGCTTGGTGATTAATAAAAAGTCTTATTTTTTATCTCTCAAACATTTTTTTTTCCTCTAAATATGTTCTTCCTCTTTATGTTATTCTCTCTTCTTCTTTGTTTCTTTTGCTAGTATGTTACCATTGGTATCAAAAGTATTATCCTCATGAAAGCTCAGGTGAGTAAGCCAGAGGCTCAGGTGATTGAATTGAGCAACAAAATTGTACACAATTTCATGTCACTCATGATCGGTTCAAGAAACTCATGGCTCAAATGAAAACTAGGATGCCCAGATAGATAGATGAGATGATGGAGATTATCAAACTCAAAAGACCTGCTCCTCTAGTGATGGATCGTGCTGATCTTGTCGTTATGACTGACTTAGGTAGAAGAAATATTGCTGAGGAGACCATTGTGAACCATACAACTCCTAGGAGAGTTGGAGATTATGGGGAAATTGACTAATTGAGATGAAAACCAAACTATAGAACACATTAGGGCACAATATCTCATATTCCCCTTTATTAACTATGCCTCAAATTGTTACTATAGTGTAAGGCAAAGATAATTCTCTTTTCCTTTCTTCACAATTGGTGAAAATTGAAGTCGGCGAAAGCAAGGATAGGGTGAGCAATCATAAGCTTCATAAATTGCTTGATAATGATGTCTTATTAGAGAAATCATCGGTGCAAGTTTTAGATGTACACAAGGATGAAATTGTCAACAACAATGATGATGGCTTAAATAGTTGTGATGTACAAATGGATGGGTTAGTAGTCATTGATGCTGAAATAATGGAGAACCCACATATCTTTAATGTGTCTTATGAATTACTCCATCTGTCTCATATTATCTGTCTCACTTACTATTCATTGGTCAAACCAACTATTTCTTCTTTGTTTATTTTTATTTTTATTTATTTTTACTTATTTTTAACTTTAATTTTTTGTGTTTAATAGTACTTTTAATGTAGTTTCTAAATATATAAATTTTGTATATTAATACTAAACTTAATATTATCAAAAATTGAGTTAAAAATAACTTCAGTCAAACCTTATTAACCGAATTAGACACAAAATGAGACGGATAGAGTATATGTAAAACAAGTGGAATCAATTACAATAATTGAGTGTCCTCCCATTAGTTTTGGAGCTTTAAATTCTCTAGGAAATAATGGTGAAATAAAATGAGTAGACATGAGGGTTATTTTTTATCCCGGGGATTAAACCATAATTATTCTTAAATGCTCAAACTAATCATAGTGTGATGTATGATGTTGAATATGGGTTCATTTTTTTTGAAAATACTTAAGATTCTTTACAAGGTAGTATCTTCTTTATACTTTCTCAATCATTTTCAGTCCAAAGAATCTAAACTTCCACTACCGGGGTTCGAACTCTTGACCATCCACTTGAATATGGGTTCATTCAAATGGTATCAATTTGTATAAATAAATCAATGTTACAAAATATATTATTGAAAATATCTTATTGATATAATTTTGTAAGGAATAAGGGTCAAATAGGTCACTAAACTGTATACAATAAAAAACTACAATTGAATCTCTAAACTAACACTTTTTTTTGAAAGCCAAAAGGCATTGGCATATATTAATGAATGAGTGAAGCTAAACAGTCAGGAGGGACATAGTCCCAGTACATAGAGTGCTCCTGATCAAAAGCTACCGTAGCTAAAGTATGAGCATGTAAATTAAGCAATCTAGAAATAACATTCAACGAGCAATATGAGAAAAGGGCTAAAGCCGCCCGGGATTGGTCTTTCACTACCCCTACATAAGATAGGATAGTCGTAGGACTGGAAAGTAAGTGGTTTCGGAGTTCTGAGCAATCAGTCAAGAGATCCACGTCCAATTCATTACGCTCCCTGAGCCAAGATAAAGTCTTCTTGAAAGCAAGTGTCTCTGCCATAAGGGATGAGAAACAACCCTCGAGCTTGCCATTTGTTTCCGCTTTGAATGAGCCATCCGGATGCAAAAGTACTACACCGTACGTTGCGTCGCCCGAGTGCGGGCAGTAACCCCCATCAAAATAGCAAAGCGGACGGCCTTGTGGGACCGGCGCCACCGTAGGCGCACTGTGGTTGTGGCCTCGGCAATGCGCCTGGGCATATGCCGCCATCGCGGCAGTGGACCGCCTCCACACACCGGCGGGTCGTGCCAAAGCACCTTTCCATACGACGTCGTTTCGGGTGCTCTATAAGTGATAAAGGATTGCAACCGCCATGCCAAATTGCTCCTCTGTTAAATTTGCCATAACACCCATTAGCCATATTGGGAATGAAAGAGCAACAATATGTGTAACAGGTAATCCCGAAATATTTCACACTAATTTAGAATAATCACAAAAAACAAGTGTGTGCATAACATCTTCATGAGATAAACCACACATAGGGCATGTTGGGTCTACTTTCACTCCCTTTATAATCAGGTTATTCGTAGTAAGCTCTCCACAAAAAAGTTTTCCACTTTGGGGGAACCTTCAACTTCCACAATGTGATCCATTTATCAAAGGTAGCAAGATCATGCTCAAAATCTCCAACAATCTACCTATATGCACTTTAATAGAATACATTCCCCTTTGGTCCCTGTACCAATACCAAGAGTCCTCATAATCCGGGCTAATAGGGATCCTAGATATACGAGTCACATCCTCTGGTTCAAATAAATCACTTAAAATATGAGGATCCCACAAGTGTGTTTGTTGGTCAATCAAACCCACTACTCTAGCTTCACACAGTTCCTCAGGCATTATTGTCTGCACTAAGGGGCTAGGGTTATCTAGTAACCAGGGATGGCCCCAGATTGACGTTATTTCCCCATTTCCAATCCTTCTTCGAACCCCAGAGCAAACCATATCATGTGCAGCCATTATACTCCGCCAACAGTAACTTGGGCAATTTCTCATCCTAGCATCAATAAAAGAGGTTGTCGGGTAATAACGAGCTTTATATATCCTAGCTGCAAGAGAGGTAGGATTAGTAAGAAATATCCATGCCTGCTTCCCCAACATAGCCAGGTTAAAAGCACGAAGATCTTTAAAACCCAAACCCCCATATTTCTTAGGGACACACAGCTTGTCTCAGGCCTTCCAATGGATTCCTCTATCCACCCCTTTTCCCCACCAGTATTTGTTCATTGTCCTCTCAATAGACAAACAAACTGATTCAGGTAGCAAAAAAATACTCATTAAAAAAGTAGGCATAGATTGGGCCACACTTTTCAAAAGTACCTCAGCTCCTTCCCAGCCTGAGACAACAGTTTTTTGTTCCACGATCCAATTCTCTGTCTGATTTTATCCTCCACATAGGAAAAAACTGCCCTTTTATTTCTCCCAATGAAAGATGGTAGACCAAGATATTTTCCAAAATTGGGGGCTTGGTCCACCCCTAAACAATCTGCCACCACTTCTCTTTCCTCCCATGTGGTATTCCTGCTGAAACAAATGTTAGACTTGTGATAATTAACCATTTGACCAGACAGGTTCTCATACCTCATTAAGCACTGTTTAATTACACTGGCCTCTTGGAAATTTGCTTTAAAAAATAATAGACTATCATCCGCAAAGAAAAGATGTGATACTGGGGGGCTCCTCTAGCTACTCTACATCCATGTATTGACCCTACTAAAGCAAAGATAATCCCTCTACACAAATAATGAATAAATAGGGAGAGAGGGGGTCACCCTATCTGAGACCCCGAGTTGGAATTATTTGTCCTCTAGGCGCACCATTTACCACAATATTATATGTCACAGTTGTCACACACAACATAATCAGGTCAATCCATCCCTTATCAAACCACATAACCTCCAACATTCTCTTCAAGAACGGCCATTCCATTCTACCATATGCCTTTGCCATATCCAATTTTAAAGCTCCCCACCCAACTCTACCGCATTGCTTTCTATTTAAAAAGTGGCCAACCTCCGAAGCTACCAAAATATTATCTGTAATTAATCTCCCTGGAATAAAAGCACTCTGGGATTCCGAGATTAGATCTCCCATAAGCGGTTTCATTCGGTTTGCTATCATCTTAGCCATAATTCTGTAAAGCACATTACTCAAAGCAATCGGTCTCATATCCCCTACTGTCTCAGGAACATTTTTCTAAGGGATCAGAACCACATTCGTATCATTCAATCCATGTGGGAAAACACGCGAGTTGAGGGAATTCACAATGAACACAGACACATCCTCCCCAACTACGTCCCAAAAATGCTGGTAGAATCCTGAATTCATACCATCTGGCCCCGGAGCTTTATCAAGAAACATGGAAAATACAGTTGTTTTAACCTCATCACTATTAAACGGGCGCAGCAGGGTAGTATTATAGGTCGGGGTAAC